CCCTGCTGGTCAGTGTGCTCCCATCAGCCACAAAACAGGCTGATGGCTGGCTGGCCTCAGCCATCAATCCAGCCATCAATCGTACATCCCCCGAGGGCTCCTGGACTGCAAAAGGGGGCAGGCTGGGCTGAGGGAACCCCAAACTCCTGCCCAGCACGATGTCGGGCACCGGGGCTCTAGGAGTTAATAAGCACCTGAGTGAAGCCCTGTCCACGCCTGGAACATAGCAGAGAAGAAAGCAAAGCCCTGCCCTCGTTGAGCTCACATTCTAGAATGCCCTAAAGAAAGTCCAACAGGGGAACAACCAAAAAAGAAAATGAACAATTTGTCTTTAAAGGTGAATTCTGTACAAGTGAGGATGACTGAGGCACCGGAAAAAAAATCTGGCTCATTGTGTCACCTCTGTTCTATTCAAAGCATGTCGAGGGTTTGTTGAAATTTCCTGCCTTTGTGGATAGTGGGGACTGCTCTCCAACCCTGGGAACAGGGCCCAGAATACATCACAGCTCAGGGGTCCCTACCATAATAAAGACACACACACACACACACACACACACACACACACACGGGGTGGGCCATTCACATGGTGACAGATACCTCAAATCATAACATCCATTTTGTGACAATGCCCCTTTTCCAAAAGCAGGAATATGCAGGGAAGAGATTCTATCTAACCTCTACCCTGCAAGAGCATATTTTAAGTGTATTCTCACCACTAAAGGGAGAGTAGACCTTACGCACATTACTTTTTTTTAAAAATATATTTTATTGATTTTTTACAGAGAGGAAGGGAGAGAGATAGAGAGCTAGCTAGAAATGTCGATGAGAGAGAAACATCGACCAGCTGCCTCTTGCACACCCCCTACTGGAGATGTGCCCGCAACCAATGTACATGCCCTTGACCAGAATCGAACCTGGGACCTTTCAGTCCGCAGACCAATGCTCTACCACTGAGCCATACCGGGTTTCGGCCTGCACATTACTTCTAAAGAGATGGTACGCATTACTATGTTTGCCATTTTTTTTTCGGAGCAGTGGTTACTCACATTCACTCATCAATTCACTTGGCTGTTTCTAAGGACTCAGAAAGAGGAGGATGCTGACATGCCATCTAGAATGATCCCCGTGACCCTGCCATTCACTGAATAGTATACTATTTTGATTTAACTCTAAGTATATTGAATTACAATCATCTTTCATTCACGTTAGTTCTCCTATATTTGTTTGTTGTGCACAGAAGTGTTAACATCTGGCTGACCCTCTCTGTAAAACAGGAAATAACACGTCAACTCACTATAGATGAGTTAGATAAGGTGGGAGAGTCAAGTGAGGTGACTTAGGTTGACAGTCTCTATCCATAATACGTGGAGTGCAAGGTCATCACAGGCATTGGTATCCAGCCAGCTGATAGGGGTAGATAGAGAGAGAAGGGATACTCATTTATTCACTGCCCACACTGGGTCCCGCGTTCTATTCCGGTCAAAGACATGTACTTTTGTTGCAGGCTTCTCCCTCGGCCAGGCCCTGGTCTGGGAGTGTGCAAGAGGCAGCTAATCAACGTGTTTCTCTCACATCGATATTTCTGTCTCTCCCTCTCTCTTCCACTCTCTGTAGAAGTCAATGAAAAAACATTCTTGGGTGAGGATAAAAACAACAACAACGAATTTGTATAGAAATGACATGACAAAGAAAAATGGTTTTAGGCTCCAAGGGAGAGCTGGGGAGGGGCAGGGGCGGTTGGGAAGGTAAACAAATGTGGGGAACACTAATGGAGCAAGGTTTGCAGGTTCCTCTGGTGCCTTCTCTGGGCTAAGAGTCTGGAGCAGTCTCCAGTAAAGGAAATACACACCCTACTTTTAGACAGAAAGGCAGATAGAGAGAATTCTTCCTGCTTTTCCTGCTTCTGAATTGCTTTCAGCCCCAAAACATTCTTATGTCAAAGTTGCATACTTTGGGGTGATATATTCTCGTTTCCTTCACCAGTTTTCTAGAGCTTTAACATTTCGTACCATATGAACTTTTCTATTCTGAGGTGAAGGTGTTAATAAGGTCTACAGTATGGAAAGCTTTTAGAAGCAGCAGCTCTGTGCCTCCCAGGGCTGTTTGATACCATATGTACGTGTATACAGTTATAGTTATCTTATTTTTTAATATGTTTATATTGGTTTTAGAGAGAGAGAAGAAGAGAGAGGGAGAGAGAGAAACAGCATTGGCTGCCTCCCACTTGCCCTCTACTGGGGATGAAGCAGAAACCTGGACATGTGCCCTCGCCAGGAATCTACTAATCTAACCTCTGGGTGGATGGGTTGACGCTTAGCCACATGGGCCAAAGCTATCTACCTGTTTTAAATACATACACTGCATCCATACTTATTTTAAACAACAAAATACCGATTGCCATTATAGTCACACAATTCTTGTAATTGTGTGAAAAGTGATGAGTCAATTCGATTACCTGTGAATTATGTAGGCAACAGAAAGATAAGATGAATGGGTGAATTCCATTTGATGACATAATTCCTCTGCCTCAGGGAGGGTTTTTAAAATCAGGTGAGTCTAGTAGAGCAGGAAAAGAGAAATGCAAGGGGAGGGCAAGGCCAGGGAAGAGTGGTTTTCAGAACACACAAACCATCGGCTAGTGAGGCTAAAGAGTTGAGCGTTGACCCATGAACCCAGGTTCAATTCCTGTGCCTGGGTTGCAGCTCAATCTTTGGTGAGGAGCAGGGAGGAGACAGCTGATCCATGCCTTCCTCATGGAGGTTTCTATCTCTCTATCCCTCTCCCCTCCCCTCTCTCTACAAAAATCAATAAAGACACATTTTAAAATAATAATGCAAAAAACACACAAGCCTAGGTAGAGATGTACAATGAATCACCATGAACGACAGCTTTTGTGGTTTCTACGCTTATTTTTCAATTATATTTGACAATTGACATTCAATGTTATTTTACATTATTTGCAGGTTTACAGCACATGACCCCCTCTGATTATTCTAATAGCCACCTGCCACCATACACAGTTATGGGCTCTTGTGATATTTTTTCTTTTTGTCGATTCTTTTCCAGCTTGTGTGATTTTTAAAAAGCCTTAATTTGAAGCTTCTGTGTTATTCAATATGGTGCTCATTCCCCTCACAGCCACAATGATCTCCTTAAATACGAGTCTGTCCATATTCCTACACTCTCCTCACTACCAAAACCCAAACCAAATCAAAAACAAAAACACAGCCTGACTGGTGTGGCTCAGTGGTTGAGTGTCGACCTATGAACCAGAAGGTCACGGTTCAATTCCCAGTCAGGGCAAGTGCCCAGGTTGAGAGGCAGCTGATCAATGATTCTCTCTCATCATTGATGCTTCTATCTCTTTCTCCCTGTCCCTTCCTCTCGGAAATCAGTAAAATATACATAAAACACCACACACCAAAGACTCTTAGCAGGGCTCTGCTGACTTGGTCTCTGTCCACCCCTCCATTCCCTGCCTACACTTCTTTGAGTGCTTTTCTTTAGTTTCAGGAAAACTAGCAACTTCACATTCTGCTTTTTTCTCCTGTTTCTTTGGCCTAGAATGCTAGTCTCACCTTTCTTTGCCTGGAGAACAATCCTTTACTTTCAAAAACTCTAATATCTGCCAGCAAACCTTCCCAGGTTCTTCATCGTAGCTCTGTCCCTGCCTCTCATCTCTCTGCATATTTCTTTTTAAAAAAAATCATCTCCAATCTACTCAATATCCCATACAATTTTATTTTATTCTGAACGTCTGTTTTCTTAAACCTCATAGGACTAATCTTTGTATCCCATCCCCTGGCAGGGTGGGGCGCCCGAGAAATGTGTATGCAGCTGAAATGAACCCACGTTTGCTCGCCGATGACCCAGTGACCCAATGACCTCCGCCCTGGGCTCAGAATCCCTAAACACCACCTCCAACACTCCACGCTTGTCAGTGCCTGCCGGACACGAATCCCTATCGCCAGGTCTGACATGTATGAAGTCACCATTACTCATCTCACTTAGGTCACGGCTACGCGCTGGGGCTAACCCTGATCCGTGAGGGGAGAAAGGGAACTGTCATTTTTAGGAAACCAATAGTCCGAGCCCGCGCGGGTTTAAACAGAACCAGCTGCACCATACTCCTACCTGCCCCACACTCTCTAGGTTTTCGTGGGGACACCATCCGGGTGGCTGTCACTTCTGAAGCGCTTGGCCTGGCAAAGCCCTCACCCAGCGGCAGGAGCAGGAGCAGGGGCAGGAGCAGGGGCAGGGGAAGGAGCAGGGGCAGGGGCAGGAGAAGCAGCAGGAGAAGCGGCAGGAGCAGCAGCAGGAGCAGGAGCAGGAGCAGGGGCAGGAGAAGCGTCAGGAGCAGGAGCTGGAGCAGCAGCAGGAGCTGGAGCAGCAGCAGGAGCTGGAGCAGGGGCAGGGGCAGGGGCAGGAGAAGCAGCAGGAGAAGCGGCAAGAGCAGCAGCAGCAGGAGCTGGAGCAGCAGTAGGAGCAGGAGCAGGGCAGGAGCAGGAGAAGCGTCAGGAGCAGGGGCAGGGGCAGGGGTAGGAGCAGGGGCAGGAGCAGGGGCAGGGGCAGGGGCAGGAGAAGCAGCAGGAGAAGCGGCAGGAGCAGCAGTAGGAGTAGGAGCAGGAGCAGCGGCAGGAGCAGGAGAAGCATCAGGAGCAGGAGCTGGAGCAGCAGTAGGAGCAGGGGCAGGGGCAGGGGCAGGAGAAGCAGCAGGAGAAGCGGCAAGAGCAGCAGCAGGAGCAGGGCAGGAGCAGGGAGCAGCAGCAGGAGCTGGAGCAGCAGCGCTGCGGGATGGGGCAGGTGTCCGCCCTGGGGCTCCCCCCCTTCCCCCCCTCCCCCGCGGGTGAGGCGCCCGGGAGGAGAAGCCCAGGTGCTCCAGGCCGGTACCCGGAAACCCCGAGGGAAGGAGGAGGGAAGGAGGGGCGGGCGGGAGGAGATCGGGCTCTCTGGAGTTGGGAGTTGTGCAACCGCGGAGCAAAGAGCCAGACATTTCCGCCCGCATCCCCCGCGCAGCCCGCCCGCCCGCGCCCACCCCGCCGCCTCCGAACCAAAAGCGAAAGGAGCCGCGTCCCGGGGTGGCGTCGGGGGAGGTCCGCGCGCTCCCAATTCGGCTGGACGCTTTGTGACTTCACTCGCTTCGCAACAAGCCCGGGCCGCCGGCGCCCCACCCACTCACCCACCCTGGCCCGCTGCCCCGCCGCCCGCAGCCGCCTCCGCTCCCGCGTCTCCCTTCCCTTCCCTGCCCTCCGGCCCGGAGGCTCCATCGCTCCCCGCCGCGCGGTGGCCGCCCAGAGGGCCCGCACGTGGCGCCCCCGCCCCCGGAGCAGCCCGACGCCCGCCGGCTGAGCGCAGCGCACCCAGGGCAGCGCGATGCCCCGCTTCCTTAAGGGAATGGCCTTCGTCCCCTTCCTGCTGGTGACCTGGTCCTCCGCCGCCTTCATCATCTCCTACGTGGTCGCTGTGCTCTCCGGGCACGTCAACCCCTTCCTCCCCTACATCAGGTAGGCTGGGCGCAGGGTGGACCCGGCAGAGGCGCCCCTGGGTGCCACTGAGGCAGAGGCTGGGACCCAGACCGAATGAATGGGATCTGACTGCGAGGACAGGAGAGGCTGCCCCCTGGCAGATGGATAGAGGCAGGGGGTGGGCAGCTGAGCAGCCAGAGGGGTTCGGGATAGACAGAACTTTCAGACTGGGGATGGGACAGAAATCTCAGGAAGACACTTTATTTTTTAAAAGAAATTTTTTAAAAATATATATTTCATTGATTTTTTAAATTATTTTTTTATTTTACAAAGAGGAAGGGAGAGGGATAGAGAGCTAGAAACATCGATGAGAGAGATACATCGATCAGCTGCCTCCTGCACACCCCCTATCAGGGATGTGCCCGCAACCAAGGTACATGCCCTTGACCGGAATCAAAACTGGGACCTTTCAGGCTCTATCCACTGAGCCAAACCGGTTTTGGCAAGAACAAGACGCTTTATTTATTTATTTATTTATTTATTTATTTATTCATTTATTTTTAGGGGGGGGGGGTCATCAATGGATGCCATTTATTGAGAGGGCAAGTTGGAGATCCAGGTGTGAGCTAAAACCGCTCGATATATTTCACTTCTGCTTCCCAGCATCCTCGTGAACTGGATGTCTGGTTCATGGTTTCAAGAAAGGAAACTTAAAGTTTAAGCAGATGTTGAAATACCGTCAGTGTGACACTGATGTCACAGCTAAGAAATGGTGGAAGCAGAATTCACACCCAAATGGCATCCCGTGCCCAAAGTAACACTCCAGGTCTTTTGGGAGTTGGCTTAAGCTCCCCTGGATGGAGCTGGCCAAGACCCCCACCCCACCTCCCCTGGGTTCTGTGCCCCCAGAGTCAGAGCCCTCAAGCTGTCAACAACTTGTGACATCTCCTGTGTTGTCATGATGCTGTTACAATTTTCCTGAGTTTTGGGCTCCACCTTGTTAAGGTCAAGTCTTCATTGCCCAGGACACAGGTCCCGATTCTCTTCCTGTGACTCCCAACTCCGTGTCTTGTCCACAGCAGTCTTTTTTTAGAACAATTCATCTCTATCCTAGAGGTGTGGCTTCTCTGGGTCTGTATTGGCTGGTGAGGAGATCATAAAGCTGGTGACACCAAAGTTTGTAGAGATGATACAGATTATAGGGGCTTTCTCTCCTGCAGCCCTCTGCCTCCTGTGCAATATTCTGTAATATTTTCTTTGTGGGTGAGGAAGGGGAAATGAAGGTGAGGCAAGAGGGGAATAGGGACTAGGGTTTAGAGATGCAAGGAAGAGAGCATTAAGGAGATAGGGCAAATCTGCAGTCATTGGAGGGGAGAAGGGTGTTTCCTATACAGAAAGAGGCTCCATGCCTCAAGCAAACTCTAATCTGGCCTTGTGCTCCCAAAGAAACCTGGGCTTGGTGTCTCATGGCTCATCTCAGTCCCAGTGCCATTGTCTTGCTCCTTAAAAAAGAAAAAAGCTTATTGATCTCAGAGAGAGGTAGGGTGAGAGAGAGAACATTAGTGATGAGAGAGAATCATTGATCAGCTGCCTCCTTCTTGCCCCACACTGGGGATCCAGCTGCAACCCGGGAATCAAATTGTGACCTTCTGCCGGACTGTCTAATTCCTGTTGATTCTGAAGCAGGATAGATCTTCTTAGACCTGTGCAAAAAGCTTTTCTCACTGCAATGGTTTAAGTGTGTGTGTGTTTAAAAATTTTTTAAGTAGGAATTATTTGAGCCAAACTGAAGACATGCTCTGGAGCAAGATCTCAGATGCTCCCCTCCCTGCAGTGCTGTGTGTGTCCTGGACCTGAAGGTCAGGAACAGATACACATTGGCCAGGCAGCCAGAGGCAGGGTTTGAGTCTTTGTAGACATGTCTGAAATAGTTGTGATTAATACCATCACAAGGTGAATTTGAAATGGAAGACGTTCAGAAATGGGGAAATGATGCCTGCCGAAACCGGTTTAGAGCTTCGGCCTGCGGACTGAAGGGTTCTGGTTCGATTCCGGTCAAGGGCATGTACCTTGGTTGCGGGCACATCCCCAGTAGTGCAAGAAGCAGCTGATCGATGATGCTCTCTCATCAATGTTTCTAATTCTCTATCCCTCTCTCTTCCTCTCTGTAAAAAAAAAAAGAAAAAGAAAAAAAAAAAAGAAAGAAATGGGGAAATCAGCTGACAAGGCGAACCACTTGTGAGATGCTTAAATCACAGACTTGCCGGGAAAGAGGTTGTACGTTTAACAAGGAAAAGAAGCCTTTAGGAAGAGCAGAATGACTGGAGAAAAAGGCGTGAGATTGTTCCGTTGTTGCCAGGATTCATCAGCCTACACACACAGAGCAAACATGTGAATTGTGTGCCCACATGTGCCTGGGGCTTTTGGTTGCCAGAGCTCTCTGTCTCCTAGAAAACCAAGTCATTGAGGAAAAGGCAAGATGTACGCAAGAACTAGACACCAGGGCCTGATTGGGCATGCCTGAGTGATCAGCTTTGTCTAGAAATGTTCAGCTTTGTCTTCTATGATTCATCTCTGCTGTCAATACCTCTTACTCTTCCTCATCCCCCTCCCTCCATTTCCTCCAACCACACTGGCTTCCTTTCTGTGTCTTAAATGTGCCAGGCCTCCCTGTATCTAGTCATATTATCCACCTTAGCATCTATCATCTTCTAACAAACTAGGTGGTTTATTTATTATGATGGTCACCTGTCTTCCCTCTGGAGTATCTATATCTATATCTATATCTATATCTATATCTATATCATCTATATCTATATATCATCTATATCTATATCTATATCTATCATCTATCTATATCTATATCTATCATCTATATCTATATCATCTATATCTATATCAGACTGATATGCTAAGTGTCTGTCTGACTGGTAGCTATGACAGGCACTGACCACCAGGAGTCAGATGCTCATGCAAGAGCTGCTGTGATGTGCATTGGCCATTTACAGAGAAACAGCATTGTAGGCCTGGTGCTCACGAAGCAACACTTGGCTTCCCCAAAGTGGGACACAGGCCCCGCCACCACCCTGGAGCCTCAGCCCACCAAATCCCAGCTGACCTGCCTAGACCCCATGGTGCAAAATGTGGTCCACAGTACAGCCCTGCCCAGAAACAGTGGCTGTGGGCTCTAGGTAATGATGTCACATAGCAACGCTTGGCTTCCTCTTTCTAGCAACTAGCCCCCTTGCAGTTTCTTCAGCTCAGGAACACAACTTGCTTTATAGCCAGGTGGAAACATTTTACACTTTAACCAAATGTCTGTGAAGTGTTTTCCCATGCCTCATCTCATTTGATCCTCACAGAAGTCCTGGAGTAGGTAGATCAGAGACTTGGTAGAATCCTGTTTTCTTTTCATTAGCTGAAAAATGGAGATTTAGAAAGCTTAGAAACTTAACCCAATTGAAAAGAAGTAAGAAATTGTAGACCTTGAAAATAACTTCAGGTTTTCTCACTGTGCAGAATGTAGTCAAACACTGCTGCATATTTTACCCTTTGTTCTCCCTTCATGATCTATAATAATAATCTGCTTGTGTTGATATTTAGTGCTGTGTTGCTGACAATTATCTGAAAGAGAAGTTGGGGTGTTTCACTGGGCTGGGAAAAGTTTAGCTAAATCAGAAAGCAGGTCTAATTAAACAAGTTAATTCTATATCCATAAAAGGCTAAGTTGACTCACGCGTGCATGATAGATATAAAGCTCTTGCTGGTGCCAATTGCATGCATGTGTTTTGATCTGTCATTGTTTATCATGAATTTGGTTGACATTTCTATTATAGAGAAAGGGTGAATAGTGATATTAAAGTATTTCTTCTAATTAATTTCCTTTCAATGTTCACGAATTTGTGCACCGGGCCACTAGTAAGATTCATGAAGGCTCTCAATTTTAGTTGAATTAATATTTCTCAGACACCCACTATGGATATTGTTATTATTCCTTTAGAGAAAGGCAGATAGTTTTAGGGGAGGCTTGATCAGGTAGGTCATTGGTGGTTGGGATGCAGATAGTCCTTGATTGTGGGGTTATGTCCTGATAACCTATTTTAAGTTGAAAATATTGACAAAAAAAAAAAATGTAGAGACTTTTTTTAAATTTTAATTTAAAAAAAATTTTAATTGTTTTTCTTGTGTTGTAGAGAATTTTAATAAGTTTATTTGAGCCAAACTGATGACATGTGCGGGGATCAAGATCTCACTGCTCCTGAGAATAACAGTTTTGCAGTTTCTTTTATGCATTTGAAATTAAGGAGAGAATTTAGTAAGATTACATGGAGGTGGAAGGAAATAACTCAGAAATTGGACAGTTAATTAGATTATGTTCTCTTTTAAGGGTTGATGCCCCCTTCAAGATGCATTGTTTCTGGTATTTCAATGGTGTGTTAATCCAGATGTGCAATGGACAGGGCTGGTTTAAAACCTTTTATTAAAGGAGTTCTATGCCTGGGGCATGACTGCCCACCATGACCTGCTCATTTAGGAATTTATGATCAGATCAGCTTGTGAGATTACTTTCCATAGAATTCCCCCTTTTTTTGGTCCAAAATATCTTAAGTTGGAAATGCTCTTAATACACCTAACCTGCTGAACACAACAGCTTAGTCCAGCCTACCATAAATTTGCTCAGAACACATGCATTAACCTGTAGCTGGGCAAAACAATATAAAGTGTTGAATAGCTCATGTAATTTATTGAATACTGTACTGAAAGTGACAAACAATGATTGTATGAGAACTCTCTGTTGACTGTTCACACAGCTGAAAGCACACTTGGGCCTGGAGAATGTTTGAAGCATTGAACTAAAATAAGGAATGCTGGCCACAGGGTACACTGCAGAGTGTTAGTTGTTTACACTCAAGATCCTGTGCCTGATGGGGAGTTGGGCCCACCACTGCTGTCCAGCATCTCCAGGGTATCCTACTGAATGTTGCTAGCCTGGGAAAAGATAAAAATTTAAAATTTGAAGTACGTTTCCTGTTGAATGT